CCCCCCCCCCCAAATAAAAAGTGTGATGATTAAGCCAGAAGATGAGTAGCTTAGTTAAGCATAAAACTTTAAGCAGTGTAAACACCTTGCATATCACTTTTCAAATATTAAGATTTCTTAGACTCATCACTTTATTACCTACAAAACTGTATAGAAGCTGGAAGCCACCAGAAACAGTGTTCAAAGTCTTCATGCTGAGCTAAGCTAATCATCTCCAGCTTCACGGTTATTTAGACCCATCCAACTCTTGGCAAGTAATAAAAACAATGATAATAACTTCTCTAATAAAGATAAGTCAAAGTTGCTTTTCCTTGACTTGGATGTCTTGTTTCTTTATTTAAAGGCTCTGTCCAGTGAGTCCTTTGAGCGTCTGCCTGTCTTCAACAAGTCGGCGTGGAGGCATTATAAGACGAGCCCCGAGGCGGACGATTGGAGCAACCCCAGCAAAGAGCCACGTGATGCCAGCAAGTCCAAATACAAAGCCAACAGATAACTCTGCCCAGCTCGCTAGCAAAGCCTTCCCCAGGGAGCCAAAATGCCGGCACTCTGCATAGAGCATGCACGATGAAATGTTGCCCTTGGGTAAAACGCCTGGGTTAGGATTAGACCTGCTTTCACATTCCAGTCGCTAAAGGTTCTGAAAGGATGGATGTCCTCCACTCATATCGGTACCCAATGGCAATGGCCTTCATCAGCGTAGCTTTCACTGTTGTGGCTTCACCACTGGCTGTAAGACGAGGTTTAAAAGACCCCCAGTGTCCAACCCCTTTAAAAATATCTGGTTACTCTCGTGAACCTTTACAAAGATGAACTTCATTTCTTCAAGTTTACTTTCTAGCAGTACTGCCATCTCTTCCTCTGTCTCACTCACATTGGCCTGCTGCTGACTAGGCTACTGCTCTGTGCAGCTGAATAAGCTCCCCTCCTGCTGCTGATTGAGTGTCTTTCTCAGTAAACGCTCGTGTTCTGTTTCTTTCTCGCCACACACAGGCAGAGTCAGGAGAAAGGGGTTAGTTTGAGTGCAAGTTAGAATAGGAGGAGGTTTTACTTCCTTCCTTTCGGATACACTCTTCACTGAACGCACAATTAGGTCGGTGTGCCCTTGGCATAGAGACTTGTTTTGGCTGCCCTCCGTTTTTAGCTTGGGAAATAGGAACCAATGGATGAAGCATACACTTTATTCTTAAAGCTTCTAAAAGTCATGTTTTTATTTAATGAAAAAGACAGCGAGCCTTACTTCTGGTAACGTATGGCATATTTATTGTTTTTAAAAAGCCCGCCTTTGAAGGCTGGAACTTGAAGAGCATTTAAAAGGGACGATGTTAGAAGTGAAAAGTTGAGTGTTTTTTACTCAACTTTGTTTAGCTTTACGCTTAGAGGATAACCAGCCACCTGCAGACCATTAACAAATGGTACTAACCCTCATCAAATATATTTGCTCTTTGTCCTGATTTAACAACTACTAACAGACAAATGGAGCATCTCTCGGATGCTTAGGAAATGAGTTGTGTATTCACTGTGATTCAAATGATAGTAGCATCATCATTATTACTCTTTTATCTTTTCCAATGATCATAAGAGACTTTGCTTGAGTAGCCACGATGCACTCGCATAATCTGAATTGCTCATCAATAAATCGTAATTAAGTTTTTTGGGTTTTTTTTTAGTCAGTTTGTCCTCTCAGCAAAACACCGGATGGAGGAAAACGCAGGGTTGCAGTAGGAGTACTGCAGTCGTGTCATTTTTCAGCCACACCAGCACCATGTATTGCTTAGAGAGAGAAAAAAAAACCCTTGCTAAATGCGATGGATCTGCTGGGATCACACTTGGACTATAAAAAAAAAAAAAAAAAGTGGGATTACAGCTTTTATTTCGACACTTCCTATTTCGTCCTGCCAGCACGCCACGGTGGATAAGCAACTTGCTCGCATCTTTGACCTTTTTTATTCCTAACAATGCTTCATCGGGTCAGCGTGTATCTATTTTGTGGTACTACTAATCCTCATAGTCTTCTGAGTTTGAACAAAGTTTTGCTTTTTTTTTATGTGCTTTTGCTTTTTTTAACTTGAGTGAAAATAACTGAATTAGAAGCTAAATGTAAGAGCAGATACTTGACAGGCTTTTAGTTTATTTGTACAATTGTGCACAATTTCCCTTGGCTTTTTTTGTCTTTTGGCACTGACACGTGATTGCTTTTAATTCATCTTTTAGTGATTTGTAAGTTTTTAACTTGATTTTCTTTCCTTATTTATACAATAGGAAGTCATGTGGCACACACAGTTGAGGGTTTGGATAAGTCTGCAGAGGAAAATGTGGTCAAAGAAGCAGAGTCTCCAGGGCACTGAAAGTTGTGCATCAATCCATCCACTTTTTTTTTTTCTCTTTTTTTGGCACATGGATCATATTCAGGAACCTGTTTTTGTGCACTTTACTAATCCTAAGTCTATATTTTTAACCTCGTGTAGTTTTCATGCAATCACTCCAGACCTCTATGAAGGAGCTAATTAAATCGGATTGGATCCCAGGTCAGGATTTACTAATAGTGATGCAATTTTTTATTTTTATTTTTTAATTTATTTTGAGGCTGCTGATAAAGACCAAAACTTAAATGAGTCATGGCTCAAACCTGGATTTATTTAAAGCAAATGTTGGGAGATTTTCACAAATACGAAGAGACTCATTTTTCTCATGTCATTTAGCTTCACCTGACGTGTAAAGAGAGAAACTCTGTGTGGAAACCGACATATTAACCATCAGATTTCATCACTGCCAATTCCTTTGTGACCTGCAAGTGTGGCTGATACCCTGTGAATAACCTACCTTAGAGGATGAGCTGCATTATAGGTTAGTGGTTGATGTGTAGGCCAGTGTGGTCCTGTTGTTGACCAGTCACCTAAAAACCACATCTTGATCAAAGTTATACTTCCAGTTTCCATCATTTATTGAAATGAAGATCTTCTACTTGTAGTAGTTTACTGTTTAAAGACCTTCTATGTGGTAAGAGTATTTTAGAAAATCATAAGCATGTATGTATGCATGCATGTATATACTGTACATGCAGCCAGTGTGGAGTGATGAGTGTATTTTCCAGCCTACTGTACATCCAGCTTAAATACTGCATTTGGAGTCTCCTGGATAAGAGGTGGCCGTGTAACATCAACTTGAGTACACCAAAAAAAAAGTTTTACAATGGTCTTATAATGTGATTCAGCATGAGATGAACTTCCAATACCAACTGTCAAACATTACAATAAAAGAGATTTGCTGTTGTGTGTAATCGCTGTGTTCAGTTTTTATCCACGCTGTGACCAGATCGGGGGTTTTTTCCACAGTGTTGAAACATTCTGGTCCACACCACATACGGCGCAATTATGCATGATTACATTAAACAGTTCATGTCCTGCAACAGTATTTCAATCAGTTTGTGATCTGGACTTTGACTTATTCTTTTTGTTTTCAGCCATTCTGTTGTAGAATTGCTGCTGTGCTTGAGATTGTTATCCTGTAGCATGACCCAGTTAGAGTCCAGCTTTAACTGACTGAAAGGTGACCTCACATTTGACTCTATAATAGTTTGGTTTACAGATGAATTCATGGTCTGCTTAGTGACTGGAAGGTGTCCTGGTCCTGTGGCTGTAAAATAAGCCCTAATCATTACCGCACCACCACCGTGCTGACAGCTGTGTTTGGGTTTCTCTGCTTATTATGGGAACAATCCAGAGGTCTTGTGGTTTGTTCAAATGCAGCTTTGCAAGCCTGAGCTGTGCGGTGTTCTTTATATAGAGAAAACCCCTCCAGATCAAAAAAACTGCTGAAACCTCTGCTTTCACACTTACTTATCCTTCTAATTGTTGTGGAAGGTGGAAATAATGATACAGTCTAATAGGTTGTATCTTGTTTCACATACGTAATTTTTTAAAACAGCTAAGGATTGGATTATTTTTATGTCCTGATATTTGAAAAAGTAGAAGTGAAAGACTCCATACCTTCTTTTTCACATGACCACTACCTACACCAGTTTCCATATATGTGTGCTATTGGGGTTTTATATTGTTTTTAATATCAAACTAAAGTGTAACAGTGTAGGAAATACCACACAGACTGTCACTGGAGTTTAACAGTGTTCTTTGCACATTTCCCACTAATTCAACTCTTTATTTGCACAAAGTTGAGTCAGCTATTGAACTAAAGTCATTCCCCCCCAGTCTCTATTGACCTTTAACTTTTTAGCGTCAATTAAAAAGTCTAAAAGTCTGCTTCATATTCTGTTATACATTTTTTTTTTCTTTTATTCACATTTTGATTCATTTGAACATTAAAATGAATAATAAAAAAAAGACACACATTCCCAAATTTTCTTCATATAGTGCAGATTAACATGTAGTGCTTACAGGACATTAAGATCTCTACGTTGCATTATAGGGTACTTACTGTGTTGTTGGGGTGGAAGAGAGGTCTGCTCAGATGTGAGCAACGTACATTTCTAATCATCGCAGCGAGAACAGCGCTATGTTCAAGCCTGACGATTCACCCGCTGAGCTTTAATATTTTTGAGATATTTCAAGTATCGTCAGAGTTTGTCAGGTTTTTGTGGACGGCTGACATCAGATCCCAAAGAGCCAAAGAAATCTCTGCTAAACATGAAAAACTACTTAAAAAAATGACATGGCTTTTTTTTTTAATGGTGAAAATCCACAAGTGCTTCCTTTAACAGGTGAGACGCAACCTTTTATATGGCTAGAAGTGAGAGTGATAACATTACCTCTTTGTGGAGTCTAAAAAATGCAATTTACATTCAAGAGGTTAATAAAAAAAAGGCTCTATTTTTTCTATTTCATCAAACTATTTGTTGCATGAAGCCTCAAGGATTGGATTTTGTGTCTCTTTTACAATCATCAAAAAAAGAACCAAAAATGTGATCTTTAGAAGTTGTTTTTTTGTCTTTTTTTCTGTATCTTGATGGGTTTTGCTTAGGATTTTTTGCACATATCATCTGCATTTCAGAAACTTGACAATATACGTTCTTCTTCTGGGCTCCTGCAGAGAATTTCATATGAATATCTTAGAAGTAACTTGTGATTAGTGAATTTCAATGTGATCGTTTTTGTGAACACGGTCTAAAACAGCAAAGGTCGTGCGTTATCCAAGCATCGCCTCAGCTACTCTAGGGTTCGCAGGGCTCTGTCGTTTAAATTCTGTTTAACTAGCACAAAATTACACAAAATGAATGAAACCAGTTTCAGTGTAGACGATATGTAGAACTGAATGTAAGACGAGGTGTTTCTGTAAGTCTGTGCCTACTCGCGCATAGCTATCACACCGGTTACAAGAAAACTAGGCATCTTGAAGAGAAAATGATAATCTCACATAATAAGACAAAAAACCAAAACTGATGATATTATAAGCAAGCTGTTTCACAGTCTCTATCAGTGCTGGACAGTCAAAGATGCTGCACGGGATTTCTGTCCTTACAAAATCTGACACTGTGTCCTCATCTTCTTCCTTCCTCTTCCTCCTGTCTGCTTGGTTGCCCAGAAACAACAGAGACAGTGATGGCTTCTTAGCTCTGCAGCTCAGATTCCCCATGATCACCGTCTGCATTGCATATTTGCAACATCCTTGAGGGTAACTGTTTTTCAGTTTGTCAGCCAGTGTTTGGAGGAGTGTGTGCATGTGTTTGTGAGTGAGGTGTGCTTGCGTGTGAGTGTGCGCGTGCGCGGGTTGGTGTGACCGTCTACTTCTCGTCTTCATCCCCTTCGCTCATGCTGCTTATAGAGGCAGACGCTCCTTTTGGGGAGGTGGGGGGCGAGGGCCGCGCGTTGTGCCAGCGGGCGGGGGGAGACGGGGGAGAGGGTGAGCGCAGGGGGGAAAGTTCGCGGGGAGGGCTATTGCTGGGCGACTCTCTGGGAGACAGAGCGTAGGAGAGCATTCGACCACTGCGCTCCTGAAACACTTGTTTCTGCACAGAGAGGGGAAAGAAGATTGAAATGTTAGGAAATCAGATCACCTGAGAAAACTGAATGTGACGGGGCGCGCTCTGTGGCGCCGCTGCGGGGAGGCTGACACACCAGAGCTGCATCGGCTCATCACGCCTCCCCTGCAGCGGCGCCACAGACTGGGCCCAACCACACTGGACTTGTTATCACATCAAAGTACAAGCGACAGGGAATAAAACTTGAAAATGTGTCAAAGACATTCCAGTGACCAAACGATATTAAGTATTTAAAAGTTTTTTCTATATTTAGTAAGCGTTGACATTGCATTGCATAGTTACTTACCCATGTCCCATCAGGTCCAAATAATTCTAGGAAGTTTCCGATGAATTCTCTGGATTTTTCTTCCCATTTCTGAATGAGGTCGTGACTCTTCTCCTCCACGCGGTAAACAAAATGCTTGCTCTTTTCCTCAACTGTGCGAACTTTCTCCTTCATCCGATCCACTTGGTTCTGTAGCCGGTACTTCTTCTCCTGAAGGCACAAAATATTGCGGATAATTGCCACGTTTTTGGAGAACCAGAACCTAAATCAAAAATTGTGAATGTTGTAAATAGGAAGCATATGTCTGAGGTCAGTTTTCAACACCGCAGCTTTGTAGTCACATCGCAAATTAAGCTCCATACAACTGTGATGCACAATATCCAAAGACCTGTTACTTTCTCAAAAGAAGAAAATCAGCTTTTTTTCACATTAATCTGTGCTAAGCTGATGTTTAGAAATACAACACAGTGCAGTAAAATGTTCTCACATTGATGTAGCTGACATTAAGCTCCTTGGCCGTGTAGCCACGTTGAAGGTTGCGTCGGGCGTAGACGTCATAGTCTCTGACAATTCTCGTAATCAGGTCAGAGGTGGAGATTCCTTCTGTGCGTTGCGTGGGTACAAACATCCCTAATATACACACACACACAGCAGGTATGTTTTATGGTGGAAAACACAGTTATTTTATGTCCTTTTAATTATCAGACACTGACCTGCCTCCTTGATGTGTTTGTAAACGTCCTCACTTCCTGCTGAGGAGTATGGAATATCATCATGAGCCACAAAATCGATCTGAGGAACAATCAAAGGACACGCACTGTTGGCACACACAAAAGTGAACGTGCAGCAGAGGTCTTTCAAGGGCAAAATATGCATGCTTAAAGTTAGACATGGCATGGTTATGAACACACATGGTTATGAACACATCATTGCACACAGAATTTCGGGGTGATAGTCACAAGCGTCTCATCATTAGAGGTCTCCTAAATAGTAAAGAAAATTTCCTTACTCACAGCATAGCATCCTCCTCAAATACTTTACTCACTAGCTACAGGTATTAGGTCACAGTTGACAGGTTTGTGTAAGTGGATGTGTGCAATACATATAGTAAATTTACTAATACTTCTACTCGAAGCACTCGAGCTTCATTCACCCGTTTACACACATTCACATAGCGCGTTTATTCTCTTCCTCTAAGCATTTCATTCGTACACTCTGACAGATGCACTGATGGGGAGTTGGGGTTCAGTATTTGCTCCCTGGGGATCAAACTACTGATCTTCTGATAAGTGAATGACCAGCTCTACCTGTATATCAAAGCACAGCAGCATTAAAGGAGCTAAACTAGATTAGACTAGATCTGAGTGAAATATAATTGAATTTAATAGCAAAACTAAACTAAAATAAACTTAATTGCTAACACTGCCTGCACCATTGACTGAATGTGAGCAGGTAAGTTTCTTTCAGGTAACTTCACCCTGAAACCACAAACTTTAAAGCCCAAGGAACTGTCAAGATCCTAATTTTGAGCAACAAGTGTCTCAAAACTTAGCCGATTAGTGAACAAAATATTTCATCCACTTTAAAGCTTATATAGTTCAAACCCCCGCCTCCCACACACACACACACACACACACCTTGTGTTTCTCAAGGAACTCAGGCGTGAGAGTCCAGGGTGCATCTCTCAAGACCTCATCGACATAGCGGCAGTGTCTCAGCGCCTCGTAACGTTCGTGCTCCGTCATGACCGTGAAGCCCTTGTACTTGTGGGTTAGTTCATCACTGCACACTGTTTCAAGAGCACAGCAGCGACATACATAAAACCCGCGTGAGGTGTGGTGATTAAATAACAAATCTGGACAGGTGAAACCGTACCACTGTGCTCTGTCTTACCTCCTACTATGAGGTAGGTGTTTGGAAAGAGATTCTTGGCCTGCATGAGAGCACGAGCGTGTCCAGAGTGGAATAGGTCAAAGATGCCATCTGCGTAGACTCTGACTGGCCGGTCCACTGAAAATACAGAAACACAAAAACAGTACAACATCACGGGAACAGTTAAGCATAAGTGAAGTGGTGTGCTGTTAGAGTAACAGTGGATATAGCCTCGAGTCAAACACAGAAACAGAGAATAAGCAGGCTGCAAAGTACTTTTGCACAGCTTCATCTGGAGCCACAGAGGCTCATTTAAACATTTTTAAATGTTTCCGAGCATGATCAAATTGGCAGTGCTTTTGGAGTCAAAGGATTTTTTTCCTCTTTATCGTTTTCTGACTGTTTTTCACCAGCTTTGGATTCGACTAGGGTCAGCATCACTGCTGGTAGCATGAGCCAACACCTGGACCCAACAGCGGTTGCACAGGTTGTCCAACTCCTCCAGGACTGCACATCAGTGGGTGCCATTGTCAGAAGGTTTGGTGTCTCCCAGCACGGCCTCAATAGCACGCAGGAGATACTAGGAGACAGACAGTTATTCTAGAAGAGCTGGACAGGGCTCGGTATCTGCTCCTTAGTGCAGGAGGAACAGGATGAGCACTGACCCAAAGAAATTACCTCCAGCAGGCCACTGGTGTGAGTACAAGCTACTGAGTACCATAGTGAGTTGGTGCAATTAAACTTCAGCAAAATTGACTAGCCTCCTGCTTTCATTCCTAAACCATTACACAGTCCACGTCAATGTAGATATCCAGCATGATTTTTTCTAATGTGTTTTCAAAGCGTTACAATAATTTGTTTGAGCAGTTTATAGCCATACCTTTTTAAATAACATGCTAACAGACAGAAAGACAAAGACAAAAGAAAGAAAGAGACTCTTTTGTGGAAGTAATGAGTGTAGTTGAACTGCCAGCAAGTTACTGCAATATGTAGTTAAACCCCTACATTAATTACAAGTTCAGTCGTCCCCAGCAGTGGTGGTGACATGAAAAGGACCAGTAATGACTTGCCCATTTCAGTCCAATTATCTTGTAAAAACACATGCTATTATCTCACATACTATAATTAATGTAGCAGTGCAAGTACAAGAATACATGGGAAGTGGCAGCTGTAAAAATGGCAACAGCAGACAACAACACATTTAGTGGAAGGAGTTAGCACAGAACTAGTGGTGGTAATGACATCAGGGGTAAGAGTGTAGTAGCTGCTCTGAGAGTTCATAGTACAAACACTTGGAACAGAACCATTAGTTGCAAGAGCAATAGGAGCTGTAGCAGTGCGTTGTAGTATTAGTAGAAAAAGAAGTGATTGTGATAGAGTAGTGCAGTAGGAGATGTTGCAGAGGAATGCTGTAAATGGAAAACATCAAAGCTGGGAGAAGACTGTGCGCAAGACAGGAGGATACCAAACAGCAGGAGGTCTACCTGGGGTGCCTTTGCAGGCCTGAGCAATGGTGAGCTTCTCATGAGGCGCGCGACAGTCACAGCTGGTCTCATTGGCAAAGATGGCAGGCTCCGTGAGAGTCTGGGACAGAGAGTGACCAGGTTAAACAGAGGATGAACGAGGGAGACTGATGATAGTTACTTCAGCATCCAAAAGCATTGCAGAGAAACACACTCATCTATCACTTCAGCTATGCACAGCATGCCTCCTTTTTCACGCCCTTCCCCACTTACTGTAACCTCCATTAAGTTATTGATCATAGCTGATGTCTGCGCTCTATTGGGACAGCAGCGCATGAAACAGACAGCGCTGCACTCAGTGTTATCGATCAGTCAGTGTGTGCGGGCAGACATTTACCTTTTCGCAAACCTGTGTGTGCATTGACATGATGGCACAGATAGATAAAGAGTAGAGCTACTGATTCAAAAACCTCCCAGGAAAAATGCAAAACAAGAAGAGCACTTGTGCAGCAAACTCAACAAGGTGAGGAGAGTTATCACTGGGAAAGGAAGCACAGGTGAGATATGGGTGCCTGTTAGCGTGTGTCAAAGCTACATCAAGGTTAAAGTGTTGCAGCACGCCTGAAAATGTGTCTTTTCGTGCCATCTGTTAACTGCAGGAGAAACGCTGAATCTCATTCACACAGATAAAAGGGACCTGGAGTCAGCACAGAACAGAAAGCCGTGGGAGTGTGAGAGGAGGAAGAAAGGATGGAGACAGATTCAGCCTCTCTGGAATAAACAGGCACCTGACGTCAACATGTATCCTCCAGGAGCAGCAACCGGTCTGGCATGGAGACAAACCAGTAAACGTGACACAGAGAAGGTGAGTCGGAGGGGGTTTTAAAAAGGTAAATAGATTTAAAAAAAAAAAAAGAAAACACAGAGCTAGAGGGCAGATTTTATTTGCATATATGTATGCATCAGTAGTCCACCATAATGAAGGGAAAAATGATGCCAAATATTTTATATTGACCTTAAAACAGTACCTCACTGCCATAAATCAAAAAAGAAACAGGCCGCTATTGTTTACTGAATTTTTATTACCAACCTCGAATTTGAGTAACAAATCAAGACCCACCTCGGTATCCTTATGAACCTTTCTCACTATACCCTTTAACAGACAGCTTATAAACTCTTGTGCCACTTAATGCATTGGTCAAAATTTCCAGTTAGGTATCTCAAAACTTTGATTGCTTAGAAGTCAGTAAGTTGACATTTTGAGACACCTGACTCAAAATGTCAACATTTATCCCTGCTGACTGATAGTGACCAGAAAGGTGGAACCAAAGACAGAATGCAGGAGAGAGTTCATGAACTGCAAAAGCAAGCTTTAGTGGCAGCTATCCAAGTTCAAAACACAAGAAACTAAAATAAGCAAACAGATGATGTGATAAAAGATGAAAGAAAGACAGAAAACTGACAAATAATGAGAAACAGGGGGAGAGGCACACAGGGGAACACAGTCAGCAACAGGTAAAAATCATTAGGGAAGGCAGACAGGAAGCAAAACAAAAGAAAACAATTTTCAAAGTAAAAGCCGGTAATGATTTAAAGAGGCTGAGAGATACCAACAGTAACACTTAGCAAGATGACAGAGAGAAGGGAGCGGAGAGGGACCAAGGCATAAACACAGAAATGCAACAGAGAGAAGCACAAAAAGAAACACCAGAAATGTGCTAATAAACCAATAATAGAACCAAAACAACTTCTATTAAAAACTCTAAGACAGGGGTAAGCAACTCCAGGCCTCGAGTGCCGGTGTCCTGCAGGTTTTAGATGTATCCTTGATTCAACACAACTGATTTAATGGCTAAATTACCTCCTCAACATGTCTAGAAGTTCTCCAAAGGCCTGGTAATGAACTAAGCATTTGATTCAGGTGAGTTGCCTACCCCTGCTCTAAGATAATAAAATAAAATAAAACAGCTACACACTTAACACCACCACAACTAAGACTTGTAATATCCTAGAATTATAAAAGAAACAAACAGAACCTCGAACTTAAACACATTAAGTAAAGAACTCAAAACAAGTATCGAAGGCAAACAGTAGACAGTTAGATCCTGACTGGTCCTGTCTCAGTATTGGAGATAAGTAAGTAATTTTGCCACCTTTTGTGCCACATGAATGCATGCTTGTACTTCTCTAACTTTGGAAATGCACATGGCTGGATCATAGATGAATATTTGTTTTCCCAAAAAGGAGTTCAAATTGCACATGTATAAGCTGCACAGTATAGCCTGCCTTTGTGCAGCAGCTGTGCTTTGTGGTCATTTCTTTTGTCCTGTCTTCCTCCCCTCACCACCAACCGGCCCCTCCCTGTGCGTGGTTCTGCCAGAGGTTTCTTCCTGTTAAATATACGTTTTTCCTTCCCACTGCCACCAAGTGCTTCCTCATAGAGGGTCATCTGATTGTTGGGTTTTCTCTGTATTATTGTAGGCTCTTTACATTACAATATAAAGCATCTTGAGGCGACTGTTGTTGTGATTTGGTGCTATACAAATAAAACTGAGCTGAATTGAATTTCTGTATTATGTGAGCTTCATCAAATGATTCCAATACATACTGTGTCAACAAAAACTAAAGTTTTCCTTGGACATTTTGGCACAATATGAATGAATTTACGCAGGTAATACATTAAATCACAGTGTGGATTAGCCCCTCAAAGTACTTTTTCCATCCTTTATCATCCCTTCACTCATAAGTACCTTTCCATCTCTATCCTTGAGCTTCCTAACCTGCTGCACATCCTTTCCAGCTTGATCTCTCTGCTTAGCCAATCAATACAAGTCCTTTTCCTTCCTTAGTGTCCAGCCTCACATAGAACTCACTACAAGCCTTTTCCTTTGCCTCTTCTATTATCTACACATAGCCTCCCAGTAGTCCTGCCTACTGTCTTCATCAATCTGACAATCTAACTTTTGCTTTGCTAACCTCTTCCTTTAAATGCTTTCCTATACTTCCTCATTCCACTGCACTTACAGACAACACTACAGCCAGGAGGTGTTGGTTAAAAGTGTTTATTAGAGCTTAAAAGTGAATACATGCATAACTCCTAATATGCACTATGATCCAGAAAGCATTAAGTTTAAAAGGTTTATCACAATGTGCTCTTTCAGTACTAGATTGCAATTTTTTTTAAGATAAAGCAAAAGAGGACCAAGCTGCATGCACAATCTTACCCTAATGAACATTTTGCTGTTCGTCATGTTAAACAATCCTACCTGTTATAAACTGACCCACCAATTTCCAATTCAAGGACATTAGAGTTAAATCAGGGCTGCAACAGAACTGGAGGAGCAACCTCATCACCTGTGATTCACCTATGGCCCAGGAAGAACAGAGCTCCACCATCTGAGCACAGCAGATGGTAAAGACTGAAAACCAAGTGACCAGAGGTACAGTCACCTGACCTATCAGAGCAGGCGCTCAGTAATGCCCACTCTGGCACAAGCAAAGAACATCTGGCATAAGAAGGATTAAGGCTGGGGGGAAAGAGAGAGCCACGGGGACATGGGACATGAGACTAACAATGAGATTGGCTCTCAAGAAAAAAAAATGGCTTGATGGAGTGGAGACAGAGGTGAGGAAAAGGCAAAATGGAGAGTTTTTAGAGTTTTTAGGAGCATTAAAGCCAGAAATCACACCAGGGTGAGCAATCATCAAAAAGATAGAAGAGATAAGAAAGAGTATCCTAAAATAGGAGGCTCTGTAATCCTCGCTGCAGCATTTTCGCCCTCAGCAGGACGTTCATGCTATGTTGGCTACCGTACGGACCCCTTCCCTCCTTTGGCAACACACTCAGAAACACCCACACACACACTGTCTACTCAGCACTCTAAGCATATCCCACAGCCACATGCTGAGGGGATCTGTTTCATAACAGGACCCTTTGTCTCCCTCTCTGTCACACACACTCTGTGCGCAATGGAAGACGAGAAAACGCACACAGGCGCGGATGCCCTACCGTTCGGGGATGAGGGCAGGTGTGTTCAAGCTCCTCCATTATTCCCAAAGACTCATGGGATGCAGCTGTGGTCCCTCTGATATGTGACTCAGCATCAGTGAAACGATGCCTCTGCTCACCACTCTGTCTCCTTCCTCTGTTCCCCCGCCCACTCTCCGCTCTGCCTCGCTGTCTGTCCTCTCCTCCTCATCTGATCCTCTCTGCTGCAAAGACGCAGACTCATTGCAGAGGCCTCACTCTGACTATTTTTTGGAATAAAAAAATCTGCCTTCCGCGTTTTAATAGCAATTTAAAAAGCGCCAAGCGCCGTCTGTTAAATCACGGTTATATTCCCGTTAGTCTTGCGCCACATTAAAGCTTTAACATAAAACACTTCTCCGAGTTAAAAGGCTTTTAACCCTGTCTGCTCAGGGGTGCCCCTTTAGGGTATACGGGGAAACACCAGAGCACTCTTCTTTTGATTGCTTGACTCTATGTTGAAATCCTCACATGGGAAAACATATTTGGCACGACATTTGATGAAGCTCACACGTTTATTACTGTGTACTAACAAATGAGCACAGATTCAACCCAAAACAGTGAGGAGATGAATTAAGAGATCCCACTGGCATCTTTTCACGAGCCGCGAGTGAATCTGTGTCTGCGTAAACGATCTCTGCGCGCTGAGGAGCTTTCTCCATGGCGACGGAAAAGAGGAGAGAGAGCTCCATGAGGTAGCCAATGAGAGAGGACCGCCAGTATACCCGGTGAGGATTGGTTGAGCAGGCCATAGCACCATCAGTGAAAAATGGCACTGAGTGGCACCGTTATCCGCCAAACACTGATTTAAATAGATGTATGTGGGTTTTCACGTGTCTAGTGTATGTGCTTATCTTTGTGTGAGATTTGTAAACAAACACGATTGTGGGAAAGAAGAAGCTAAAAAAACTGTGCTGACTAGTTTAGTATCCCTCATTGCATAACTTAAGGTAGACCAAGCACCTATAAAGTACAGCAGTGCATTTGACTGTAATATGATCGTCGTATTTTAATATTTGGAGCATTTTCTTTAGATTCCGACCACTCACAAAAGTTTACCCTCCAAGCTAACGGGCAAAACTTACCCCCGCAAATCCTCACCAAAAAGAAGAAGAAAAAAAGTCAACAAATGGAATAGGCATATAAATTGCGCATAAAGGAACAATTATTTTAATGTCTATATAGGGATGTCTTACCTTTAGAGATCCTCTTCTGCGACAAAAAGGCGCGACAGGTGCGCAAGAGGAATGCGCTCTGACGCGTCGTTGTTTCACCATGGCGGAACAAACAAAATATCACAATCAGACTCACTTTTTCTCTGCTTTGCTCTTTATAAAGTGAGTGAGCTGCGCAGCGGCAAAAGTGCAGCAGAGCAACAGCAAGCTGTTTGTCTACTCTGACCAAAGGACGCATCAGCTGCTCAGCGCTGATGAGCAGCGACAACTGTGGGCCATAGTCGATATAGCAGAGCTTACGGTAGACTTCCTCAGATTTGTACCTCAGCAAACGGCCTAATTCATGCAATCTGCAACTTCTTACCCTAATGAGAACAAGTGGAAAAAGCCTAATGTTGTAAAGAGAAAAATAAGATGAATACTACAAAGAGCGTTTCTATAACCTGGAGTGTACTGTGCAGTCCTCCGGAACCTGGCGGAGTAATCACTGTCTTTTAATGTATAGAAAGCCAAAATAAGCTGTGTGAATGAAGGACAAAACACGCTTTGTGTTCTCATTATTGGACGCACTGTGTCTCTGTGGCCCCAATCTGGGACAGGAATCTATTGTCCTCTCCGTGGACCGGTTTGGTTGCTGTGGAAACCAGCTTCACTGGGGTAGCCAGGCTTTGAAAAACAGGGCAAAATAATGGCCCCAGTTCTAAAAATCCCCGGATTTATAGAATGGTTTAAAAGTTTTTTGTTTTGTAAATTTATATTGTTCTTGTTTTGTTTCTTTTAGTCAAATTGCGATGCAATTTTATTAAATAAAAAGAAATAAAAAGTCACTATAAACTCGTTTGAACCTCATACAATATTTAGGCTAATATCATATAAATTGACTTTTTGAGACCACTTTTGACAATTTTTTTGCTCAGAAACTTTCTCTGATTTGCATTTTAAACTTCTTTAAGTTACATAAACGTGGTTTCTGTGTAAATTCTGAAAACGGTCGAAATTGTGAATATATTTTCAGCGCATGCTCTGTTTGCCACATCGCGCCAGACCTCAGTAATCACACACACTTACCTGCCAGATAAATGTAATCAGGTAAAAAGGGGAGAAGATATGGCGCAGCCCGTAGGGATTGTACAACACTGCCACCTTGCGGACATAGGTGAGATAGCGTGCCAGTTTATTGGTTGGGCGCTCTGTCGTCACTTCCGACATATGACTTTCCCCGGGAAGACGATTTGGCGCGAGCTGTTCTGTTGTTGTGTTGACCTGCCATAACCGTACGAATAAATAAGACAAAACCCCCACTTCTCCCCATGGCTCCAGTGTCAAACCCTGAGAAAGACATGGACGCTCCGGACGGCGGTGAGTTTTGGGCCTCGCACTTCTGTTTTTGTTGACTTTTGGCGACATTGCGGTGGTAAAGCGAAGAAGCTAGCTGACACGTTAGCTAGTTCAGATTATGTTAATACGCCTGCTATCAGGCTTTGCTCATTAACACCCAAAGTGCCCACCGTTGTCTGCTTGCCAGCGTTTTCCACTGTAAAAGGAGTATTATTAAGGTTCAAGCAGGAGGACATGAAGGTAGCTACCAGAAGAGGGTTGATGCGAAGGTCTGTTAACTTCTGTGGCGCTTCGAGAACGACAAAAATCTATATACCGTAATGACCACCAGTAAGTCTGCAGACGTTTAAATTGAATGGTAAAAGAAACACAGGGGTCAGGTCGATCTGGCATGTGTGTATTATATGTTTGAAGAAACGAGTCAAACGGTCCTTCCTTATACTGCGTTGTCTTGACCCTCTCCTCAGACGATGGAAGTGAAGCCTGTGGTTTGGCGAAGACTCGCTCCAGACGGGAGAAACGGGAGAAGGTGGGGAGGAAGTCCGCACTGGAACAGCTCAAAAAGGCTAAGATGGGAGAGAAGATCAAGTATGAGGTATGTAAGGCAGCCGTATCACTGGTTCCTGCTTTAAGGTGTGTGAAGAATGTGTTAAATTGCATCAAACACCTGTTTTAACTGCGTCACTGTGGCTTAATAAACAAAGCTGGTTAAGTCTCTCCATACTTCCTTTTACAGCATCTGTTTTTCACTCATTAAAATGATTCATGCTTTTCTCTGTCCTAGGATGCTGTATGCAGGTGTCATTTCACAGTAGTACACCTGTGTTTTAACCAGTGTTGTGTTTTTCAGGTGAAGGAGTTCAGCAGTGTGTATGAGGAGGTGGACGAGGATGAGTACTCAAAGATGGTACGAGAGAGGCAAGAGGATGACTGGATTATTGATGATGGTTAGTGTCAGTTACCTCAGCCTGCTGTAGGAATATTTATACTGTGCCAACGTCACAATTGTTTTATTATCTCTTCTTTTTTTTTCTTTTTCTTTTTTTGCCAGATGGAACAGGATACGTGGAGGATGGACGAGAAATCTTTGACGATGATTTGGATGATGATGTAGTAGAAGACAAAAGGGGTAAACACAAGGAGTTGATTACATTTTCTGGAGTAAGTTGTCCAGATCAGGTGCATGAATAGGTTTTGTTTGTTTTATCAGGAAAAGGAGGCGCCAAAGGAGCTGACTCAAGGAAGAATGTGAAGAAATCTGTCGTAGCCAAACCCAACAGCATTAAGAGCCTATTCATGAACAGCAACGTCAAGAGGCCTGCTGAGGTATGTGTTTGTTAGCATCTTTGATTTGCTTCTGTGAAAAATGCCCCGTGCAGTCTACATGTAATGATTTCTGTGCCTGCATGGTGCTTTGGATGTAAAGCTTAACAACATCCAGCTTTTTTTTTCTTTTTCTTTTTCTTTTTTTTTGTCGTTATGCATTTGTCAGATGTTTTTGTACTTTTGTCTCTTACAGAAAGATGTGGATCTGTCCAAAGATGACCTGTTAGGGGATATCTTACAGGACCTGCACTCTGAGGTTGGTAATTCTTTATTTAAACATGTGACAGTAGTCGTTTTCATCTATTAACCACACTTGTGATTACACATACTATTCTAAAATCTGCAATGTTTTATTATGTTTCTTTTTTCACCATTTTTTTACTTTTCTCCTGTTTGGGCATGATGACATATTCCCTTCTACTTTTTTTTTCTTTTAAAGGCTGTAATTTCTTTCTTTTGGTGTCTTAGCCTTTGTTAATGTGGCTTTAAAATATGCTCTGTCTTTCCAGAAACCAGCTCTTCTGTCCCCGCCACCTGTGGTGACTCTAAAGAAAAAGAAATCTGTGGGATCACCCATGAATCCCTTCTCTATCAAACCTCAGTTGCCAAAGGTAACTCGCTCCACCCTCCTAATCAAAGCATATTGATTAGCTCTTTAGACATGTTTATAAAGTGGCTTACCTGAAATTATAACGAATCATCATCCCTTTGATAGCAGGACTCACCCTCAGCTGCTGGGGTAAAGGCAAAAGTGATTCGAACGGCACCATCACACTCTGCCCCCAGGTCATCAGTCCGTCCTCCTTCGTCCACATCTGCTTCTCTTGTGGCAAAGCAGAAGGTAAAAGTGGAAGAGCTGAATGAAGAAGACAAGAACGAAGAAGAAGGTAATGAAGATGGTTTCCAATCTCTTGCCTTTTTTTTTTTTTTTTTTTGCTTTGTGAAAAGTTTGTGCACTAACTTTACATTTTAACACGTTCCTCAGTGAATGATGCCATGGCATTTGATGAGATGGACTTTGATGAACCGATGGAGGTTGGCCTTGAGGAGGAGGCCCCTGTAGTGAAAGACGATGCGGAGTCTAAACATGAAGTAGCAGCAGTGACTGCAGTCAAAGTTGAGGCCAAAGCTGAACCTCAGGATCCAGTCCTCATGTGAGTTTTTCATGCCTTTAGTTCAGCCTCATTTTATTTCCCATAGTTGTAGTTCTATGGGTTGTGCTAAAATTGCTGTCTTTCAGTCCCGAGGAAACGAAGCAAGGCCAAGGAAAATATAAAATGCATATAGCAAAATTAACCCGGTGCTTATGTGAGTCAATTTAAATGCCATTTAAACAGGTGTTTACTCCTGTGGCATCTGTTCCTCCCGTGTTTTACCTGCACATGCCGGTGTTTCTAAAGGAATTCGAAAAGCTAAATGCGATGGCTGATTATTGCATTGGGCTATTATGAAAATGACTGCAATTCAGTTCACTTCAGTGGTTCACAAATGTATCTGGGTCAAACAGCAGGGCTCCATACATTAAAGAAGAAGACAAAACATGTCACTCTTCTGTGTCGCACCTGCAGTCAATCCCCCACAAAACATTGCTGGACTCATTAAGGTCTGAAATTATTGTAGCTTTGAGTAACTCCAGATTAAAAATAAAGATGTAAGCCGTCTTGTTGTGTTGTTAACTTGCAGGAAGTCAAAAATGAATTCCCCAGCAAGTGAGCAGCATTTAAAGTTGTTCACATATATTGACTGCGTTGTGCAGTCACTTTGATGATTGCAGGTGCAGTTAGCATGACCCACAGAACTAATTATGTTCTTAAACTGGAATAGTTCACATATGAGCAGATGGGTTTTTAGCAGTTTCTTTGCTGTGTTCCTTGTCAAGGTCCAGCAGAATTGGAAGCTCTTGGGGACAAGAGGAGGAGGGCGGAGGTAACGACGCTCCGGCCGAGGTGCAGGTCGATTCCAGCCAACTTCCTCTGGTGGAGGGCCCAGACGGGGAGCAGGTTTTCCGCTTTTATTGGTTGGATGCTTTCGAAGACCCATACAACCAACCAGGTGGGTCCCATTTTCACCCACTGTGAGGATAAAATACAATGCGGTTACGTTTACTGTTTTTAAAAAATCATGGGCAGGTTTGTAGAGCTCACCCTGATATGTGAATTTAAATGAAAGGTGTGGTGTACCTGTTTGGAAAAGTGTGGATTGAGTCTGCAAAGTCTCATGTCAGCTGCTGTGTTAGCATCAAGAACATTGAGCGGACCATGTACCTCCTACCTCGCGAATATGTAAGTTTCATCTGTCGAAAAATGAATTACCTGTGAAAGTAGAACGC